ATGAACAAGTGGGACTATATCAAGCTGAAAAGCTTCTGTACAGCAAAGGATACAATCAGTAGAACAAAAAGATATCCCACAGTATGGGAGAATATATTCATAAGTGACAGATCCGATAAAGGGTTGACATCCAAAATATATAAGGAGCTCATGCAACTCAACAAACAAAAAGCAAATAATCAAGTTAAAAAATGGGCAGAGGAGCTGAACATACAGTTCTCCAAAGAAGAAATTCAGATGGCCAACAGACACATGAGAAGATGCTCCACATCGCTAGTCATCAGAGAAATGCAAATTAAAACCACAATGAGATATCACCCCACACCAGTAAGGATGGCCACCATCTAAAAGACAAACAACAGCAAATGTTGGCGAGGTTGTGGAGAAAGGGGAATCCCCCTACACTGCTGGTGGGAATGTAAATTAGTTCAACCATTGTGGAAAGCAATATGGAGGTTCCTCAAAAAGCTCAAAATAGAAATACCATTTGACCCAGGAATTCCACTTCTAGGAATTTATCCTAAGAATACAGCAGCCCAGTTTGAAAAAGATAGATGCACCCCTGTGTTTATCGCAGCACTATTTACAATAGCCAAGAAATGGAAGCAACCTAAGTGTCCACGAAGAGATGAATGGATAAAGAAGATGTGGTACATATACACAATGGAATATTATTCAGCCATAATAAGAAAACAGTTCCTACCATTTGCAACAACATGGATGGAGCTAGAGGATATTATGCTCAGTGAAATAAGCCAGCCGGAGAAAGACAAGTACCAAATGATTTCACTCATATGTGGAGTATAAGAAAAAAGAAAAAACTGAAGGAACAAAACAGCAGCAGAATCACAGAACCCAAGAATAGACTAACAGTTACCAAAGGGAAAGGGACTGGGGAGGATGGGTGGGAAGGGTGGTATAAGGGGGTGAAAAAAGAAAGTGGGCATTACAATTAACATGTATTATGTGGAGGGAGGCACGGGGAGGGATGTGCAACACAGAGAAGACAAGTAGTGATTCTACAGCATCTTACTATGCTGATGGACAGTGACTGTAATGGGGTTTCTTGGGGGGGACTTGGTGAAGGGGGGAGCCTAGTGAACATAATGTCCTCATGTAATTTTAGATTAATGATAAAATAAAAAAATGAGTCTTTTTCCCTTGTTGCATCAGTGTGAAACTAAATTTCCACTTCGTTTTACATCAAATTCAAGGCGTGATAAAACCATGCAAAGTAGCAGGTCCCAGTGATTGCCCATACAGTGCTCCTCTTCAGCCCTTGTGAGAAATGAGTAGGACACCATGGTGCTCGCCCTTGAGGACCCCATAGTGTAGTATAAGGACAGCTCTGTTCACAAAAAAATTTAAAGATAAGAGTGGCATAATACTGCTACCTCAGATATAGCAACTAGAACGTGAGTACTCATTAGTTGTCTTTAATGGCATAGAAGGAAATCTTTATTCTTCACTCACTAAAATTTTATTTTAATTGTAGAGTCACATAGCAACTATTTCTAAAAAGTGACCTGTGTGTGTACATGCATAGAGAAGGCATCCCCAGGGAATGAGAATATACACTCTAGAATCAGACCAGCATAGGTTCAAGGTCTTAATCTCTCTGAGCCAGTTTCCTCCCTGCCTGTAAAGAGTAATATCTGCTTCATTCAGTTCTTTTAGAGATTATGCTCAAAGTCTTTCTAAGCCCACAACCTAAAGATCAGTGCTCTCAGTCTTTCTAAACCTGCAGTCTAAAAGAAATCTTAAAAATGGGCAGAGTAATACAAGTACCAAATGATTTCACTCATCTGTGGAATATAAGAACAAAGAAAAAACTGGAGGAACAAAACAGCAGCAGAATCACAGAACCCAAGAATGGACTAACAGTTACCAAAGGGAAAGGGACTGGGGAGGATGGGTGGGTAAAACAGCAGCAGAATCACAGAACCCAAGAATGGACTAACAGTTACCAAAGGGAAAGGGACTGGGGAGGATGGGTGGGAAGGGAGGGATGGGGGGTGGGAAGAAAGGGGCATTATGATTAGCGTGTATAATGGGGGGGCATGGGGAGGACTGTGCAACACAGAGAAGACAAATAGTGATTCTACAGCATCTTACTACGCTGATGGACAGTGACTGTAATGGGGTTTGTAGGGGAGACTTGGTGAAGGGGGGAGTCTCGTAAACATAATGTTCCTTATGTAATTGTAGATTAATGATACCAAAATAAAAAAATGGGTCCAGCATATGTTAAGAAATAATTTAGTGCCAGGTAGCAAGCTGCATATAAGGTTACTTAAAAACATAGGATAATACTGCTATTTTGATAACTAGTTGAAATCTTCTTGACTGACAATGTAGACATGTTATTTATGGGGAAAAATCTTTAAACTATTTAAATGTGCAATTGTAGAATAGTGGGTAAATAAATAACAGGACATCATGGAAATGATTATGGTTATGAAGAGTACAGATAATGGTTTTGATGTGTTACAACAAAAGCAGGATGTACCTTACAATTAAACTTAGGTTTTAAAAATAGGAAGAAAAACTGGAAAAAATTGATCACAGCGATTGTCAGAGAAATAACACTACGAATGATTGCTCTATTTTCCCAATTTGTCAGTACCATGAGATAGCTTTTATAAGGAAACTATGTAAGACAGTCATACCTCATGGAGTAAAAAGTGTCTTCTCTTTATAGGAAAGACACAAATTTTAGGATCCCTAATGCTCATTCTGTTGTTAGGACAACCAAAGAAACAACCATTATCCTTAGTTCTTTCAACTACTTAGGCATCAGCCTTTATCTATTGTTTTTCTGTCAGCTGTCGAGCTCAATTCAGTCTACCACGTTGACTGGGTAATAAAACTAGAAAATTCGTATATGTACCTTTTTAAGAGCAGGGTTTTTTTCTTTGTTTTAATGTTACAGATTTATTTGAGGTTCCTAGATTATCAGATGGAACACTCCAATGAATGCAAGAGAAACTTTGTTGCGGTCTATGATGGAAGCAGTTCTATTGAAAATCTGAAGGCCAAGTTTTGCAGCACCGTGGCCAACGATGTAATGCTGAAAACAGGAATTGGGGTGATACGAATGTGGGCAGATGAAGGTAGTCGGCTCAGCAGGTTTAGAATGCTGTTTACTTCCTTTGTGGAACGTAAGTAAATCCAATAGCACTGAGATTTTTTTACATAAGTTTGATTCATTCAGAGTACAATTACTGAGACTGCAAGTCACAGAGGATGTAGAAATAGGTAAGTCTTAGTTTCTACTTTCAAGGAATTAACCTGTTATGGGCAAAAAAACAGGTCACTGCATAAATTTCAACATCACATAATTATAAAAATGAAAACACATTAGAGAATGCAGAAAGTAAAGACTTCTTTCAAGATTTTCAAAATTAAGAGTAATTGTCAATGGTAGTAATTCAGCTTGGTGAACTAATAATTATGAATCCACCAAACCATTCTCATCAAAGATGTAGATAGCTGTGTTTTCTTTTTTAACTTTTTAATTTTAAGCTTACAGAAAGTTATAAAAATATTCCAGAGTTTTCATATGCCATTCATTCAGATTTCCCTAATGTAGTAAAACTGGAAATTAATGTTAGATACAGTATTATTGACCAAGATGAAGACCTTATTCAGATGTCACTAGTTGTACCATTAATGTCGTTTTCCAGTCCAGGTCCACACATTTCCGTTTGTTGTCATGTCTGTCTATCTGTGACAGTTCCTCATCTCTAATGATCTTGATGCATTTGAAGGGCACTGGCCAGTTATTCAGTAGCAATGCTCATCAGTTTGGGTTTGTCTAATGTTTTCTCATGTATTCAGTTGAGTTTATGCACTATTGTCAAGTATCATTGAAATTATGTTGTGCCTTTATCAGCACATCACATTAGTGAGGTGGGGGTACATAATGTGAATGTGTGTTAGGTTAACTTCGACCACTGTCTTAGGTGCTGTCTGCTGGGTTTCTCCACTATAAAGTTACTAATTTTTTCCTCTCTAACAAGTCTCTTTGAAACTATGCAAATGTCATTTTGTTCACTAATTTTAGCATCCATTAATGGTTTCTACCTGTAATAGTTATTATTGCAGTGTTTATGGTGATTTTATGTTTCCATCATTCCTTCTACACTTATTAATATAACTTCACAACAAGGAAGAGCAATTCCTCTCCCCTCATTTATTTATTTATATCAGTATGAACTCATGAGTATTTATTTGATTCTATTATTAAATGTATTATATTATTCTATAATACTAACATTATTTTGCTGCTCTAAGCCCCAGCTCTGGCCTTTGGGAGCCCCTTCAAGTGCCTCCTGTATCCTTTCGATGTGCCTTTTTTTGAAAAATCACTTCCTTCCTTTCTGTTACCATAGGATGAACTAGGCTCAGCTGGTGTTTCCCTGACCCAGCCCTGGAACCAGCCCTTTATCTTTCCTTCCTACAGTGAAAAACCTGGCTCTAATTATCCATGATATATGTGTTGTTCAGTCCTAGTATACATATAAAGTAATCTTAGAATTGCTAGCCTGTATCCCTGGTTAGACATTTCCCAGCAGAGGAAGTTATTTGTGTAGGGCTCCTTTTGTCTTTATCCATTCCATCAAAATAGGCTTTTCAGTTTCTGAGGTTAGTTTCTGCCTCCATTCCTTGTGGTTGTGTGATTCATTTGTAATACACTTAGGTTCATCTGTGACTGTTAGGTCATTTTGTTTTCCCCCACATCGTAGTTACTTTAAACTGTTTTTATTTTTGGAGTACTGGAAATATTTCCATTGTCCACAGAGCTATGCAAGAAGATACACTCAGAGCTGCTCCCTCCTCTGCCAACCCAGCCCCACTCCCCTGCACTTTGCACTCCCCTCCTACTCAGTCTCTGCAGGTAGTCAATCATATCAGTTCTAGTGTATCCTTCCTGTATTTCTTTTCACACAAATGAGCTGATACTTGTGTATTTTCCTATATCCTCTTTTTGCTTGAAGGGAAGCATATTACACTCTTCACACTGCTTCTTTTACTTAACAGTATGTCCTGGAAATCACTCTGTATCAGTTCATAGAAATCATCCTTATTTTTGTAACTGCATAGTAGTACATTTTATATACTTTAGTCAATCTCCTATTTATGGGCATATGGGTTATTTCCAAGATTTTGCAATTACAAGCAGTGTTACAATGAATAATATTATGCATATGTACATATGTATTTTCATATTCCTGGAGATGTATCCTCAGGATAGATTCCTAGAACTGAGATTGCTAACTTAAAAGGTAAGTCATGTGTTGTTTACTAGATACTGCAAAACATCCTTCCAGAAGGGTTGCCTCTTTCTTGAAAAATTATTGTATAATGTATATAACATAAAATTTACCCTCAACCATTTTTACGTGTGCAATTCAGTGACATTAAGAACGTTCACAATGTTGTGTGACCATCAACACTACCCATTTCCAGAACTTAAGTATTATCCCTTACTGAAACCCCATACCCATGAAATAATAACAACTCTACCGTAGCCTTGATTCTTTCTGTCTCTCTGAATTTCCCTATTCTAGGTACCTCATATAAGTGGAATCTGCAATATTTGTCCTTTTGTGTCTGACTTACTTAGCATAATGTTTTTAAAAATTTCAGTTATTTTGCAGCTGAATAGTATTCTGTAGTATGTAATACCACATTTTGTTTATCCACTCGTCTGCTGATGGACATTTGAGTTGTTTCCAACTTTTTAGCTATTGTGAATAAAGCTGCTATGAGCATTAGTATGCAAGTTATATATATTATATAACATATAAACTATATAAAGTTATTTGTTTGCATCTGCTTTCAGTTCTTTGGAGTATATATGTAGAGGTGGAATTGCTAGATCATTTGGCAATTCTACATTTAAATATTTGAGGACCCGCTACTGTTTTCACAGTGGCTGCACCATTTTACATTCCCACCAGCAGTGCAGCAAGGTTGGTCCTCATCCTCACCACACTTGTTATTTTTCTTTTTTTAATAACCATTCTAATGGTTGTAGGGTGTGTTTTTCACTGTGGTTTTTGTTTGTATTTCTCTAATGATTACTAATGTTGGGCATCTTTTCATATACTTCTTAACCAATACCAATGTCTGAATGAGTGTCCTTTGCTCATTTTTAAATTTCTCTGTTTTGTTGTTAAGTTGTAAGGGATCTTTATATATTCTGGATGTTAATCTCTCATCAGATATATGATTAGCAAACATTTTTTCCCAGTCCATGGACTATCTTTTCACTGTCTTATGGTGTCCTTTGAAGCATAAAGGCTCTCATTTCAGTGCAGTCCAGTCTATCTGTTATCTTCTTTGTCTTGCTTTGGGTGTCATAGTCAAGAAACCATTGCCAAGACAATGTCATGAAGATTTTCCTCTGTTTTCATGTAAGAATTTTATAGTTTTAGCCCTTATACTTAGTTCTTTGATCCATCCTCAGTTAATTTTTTCTATGGTGTAAGATAAGGGCCCAGCTTCATTCTTTTATGAGTGGATATACAGTTTTCCCAGGACCATTTGTTGAAAATACTGTCCTTTCCTCAGTTAATGGTCTTGGGGCCCTTGTCAGAAATCATTTAACTTATATGTGAGGGTTTATTTTGGGGCTGTCTATACTGTCCCATTGGTCTGTTTTCCTAATGCCAGTACCAATTTTCTTGATTACTGTAGCTTTGTAATGAGTTTTGAAGCCAGGAGGAGTGAGTTCTTCAACTTAATGTTCTTTTTCAAGATCATTTTAGCGGTTGAGGGCTCTTTGAGATTCCATAAATTTTAGAATAGATTTTTCCAATTTCTGCAAAAAACACATTTGGGATTTTGATAGGGATCATAATGAATCCATGGATCACTTTGAGTAGTATTGTCATCTTAGCAATATTGTTTTCCAATCCATGAACCCAGGATGTCTTCCCATTTATTTTTCTTCTTTAATTTCTTTCAGCAATGTTTTGTACTTTTTGGTGTACAAGTCTTGCATCTTCTTGGTTAAGTTTATTTCTAAGTGGTTTTATTCTTTTTGATGCTGTTGTAAATGGAATTATTTTCCTTTCTAATTGTTTATGTATAGTGTATAGCAATCAACTGATTTTTGTGTGTTGATTTTGTGCCTTACAACTTGGCTGCTTTAGTTTATTAGTTCTAAGTCTTTGTGTGTCAGGGGGATTCTACATATAACATCATGTTGTCTGTGAACAGAAATAATTTTATATTTCCCTTCCAATTTAGATGCGTTTTATTTCCCTTTTTTGCCTAATTGCTCTGGCTACAATTTACAGTACTATATTAATAGAAGTGAAAGTTGACATCCTTGTCTCGTTCCTGGTCTTAGGCGAAAAGCTTTCAACCTTTCACCATTGAGTATGGTGTTACACCATTGAGTATGGGGTTACACCATTGAATATGGGGTTTTCATATATGGCCTTTATTGTGTTGAGGAAATTTTCTTCTATTACTACTTTATTGAGGGTTTTCTCATGAAAAGGTTTTGAATTTTGTCAAATGCTTTTTCTGATTGAATTGAGGTAATCATGTGGTTTTTGTTCCCTTCTTTATGTTAATGTTGTTTATTACACTGATTGATTTTCATAGGTTGAACAGTCCTTCTGTTCCAGGAATAAATCCCACTTGGTCATGGTGTATAAACCTTTTAATATGTTGCTGAATTCAGTGCTAGTATTTTGTTGAGGATTTTTACATCACTATGCATCCAAAAGATGTTAGTCTTTAGTTTTATTTTCTTGTAGTATTCTTTGTCTGGCCTTGATATCAGGGTCATGCCCATAGAATGAGTAAGAAATAATCCTTCCTCTTCAACTTTTTGGAAGAGTTAAAGGATTGGTATTAATTTTGCAAACGTTTGGTAGAATTTACTATGAAGCCACTTGGTCCAGGGCTTTTCTTTGCTGGGAGGTTTTTAAATTACTAATTCAACCTCCTTGCTAGAAATCTATTCAGATTTTCTATTTCTTTTTTATTCAGTTTTGGGAGATTATATGTTTCTAGGAATGTGTCCATTTCATCTAGGTTAGCAGTGTCTTAATGTACAGTTGTTAGTATTTTCTTCTAATCCTTTTTTATCTGTTGGATCTTCAGTAATGTCCACACTTGCATTTCTGATTAAGTAATT